TGTACGATTATGTTTTGTCATAATAATTAACAAAACACAATGACAAACTGAATATTAAAATATATCTTCCTCAACATGTATTTTCATCACATAGACAACTCTATGTTGCATTATCAAGAGAAGTATCAATGTTGACAACAAAAGTTTTTATTAAATCACCTAATGATCAAAAGTTGTACGATAGGTCATTGTTTGGTCTTTTGCAAAAAAGACGTTATTTATAAAAAGTGTCATTTTAGTCGAGCTTCAATTTATTATATACTTCTTTACTTTCTCTTTTAAAATTTAACTTATAGAATTATTATTCAATATATTTTTTTCATTTTCTTCAGAAATCAAACTATTCACAACAGACCACAGAATTACCAATCAAGTAATAATTTTACTTCATTTGAATGACATGATAGGTAATTCAATTTTAATCATATATATTCTTGATCACTTCCCTTTAAAAAAAATCATAATAAAAATATTTAATATTTAAACTCAATGAAAAAGTATATTGATTCAAATTTGAAATTTCACAAAAAAAATAATAATAATAATGTTTCAAAAGTTTTAAACCACGTGGAACGCATGTGATTCTAACTGGTTTATATTAAAAGCCTAAATAAGTCAACTTTTTATTTTTATTTTTTCTTTCCAACGAAGATTTAAATAAAGAAATTTAATTAGATTCATTTCAAACAATTCTCATTCTAAATAAGATAAAGAATTTCGAGTCATTTCTCGGATTTCAAATCATAGTCTAAAATTATTTCTTGAATTTCTTGATGAGGATTATAGAAAGAAGGCAAATCTTAAGATTTTTTCTCCCAAATTCTCTATTTAGGTAAATTGTACCCCAAAGTTTTTTCTTGTTACAAGTCTAGCGTTTGGTGATATGACATGGACATGAAGTAAACTTTGAAATTATTTATACCAATTTCTTCTTTCCTTTCTCTTTCTTTCTTTCTTTCTTTTTTTTTTTTTTTGAAGATATCGTAAACTTTGAAATTACTTTTCTAAACATTCTACTATTTTTCTCCCTTAGGTACAAATTTCACGTACGAAAAATATATAGAAAATTAAAATAGAATAAGCTTAGCCAAATCCAAAACTTTTTAGAACTTACGAATTTGGATTTATTGATTTCGATTTTCTAATAGACAACTCGAAATAAACCAAAAAAAAAAAAACTACGATTTGAATTCCCTTTATTTAAGAATTTAAAAGAAGAGAATATCTTGATCGTCTTAAGATTTTTCTAAATTTAAGAGAAGAAATACTGAATTTAAAAGAAGAGAATGTACTGATCCTCCTAAGATTTTCCTAAATTCAGGAGAAGAAATACTCTATGTTTTTCCCTCTATAAATAAAAGGAAAATACTCATACGTTACAAAACTTTACTCTTTGTTACATTTCACATAAAACTCAAATTGTGAAATAAACAATGGAGTGTGTGTGGCTAGCATGACACGGTGTAGTTTTTTTTATTTAATTTTGTCGATCCCTTTTATTCTAGAAGATTGGTCCAAATTTGGTCATCTGGGCCAAATTTATCAGTAAATTCTAGCCAAAATTTCTATAAATTTATGTTTAAAGGATAAATATCATATTTAAATGATTTTAGCTGTATTTTGGTTATTGAACTAGAGAATTCTCAACACTAATAAATATGAATTTAATCCATTGAATCAAATGCAACAATAATATCCTCCAAATATTTTTCCCTTACAAAAGAGAATAAAAATTTGGAAAGAATGTCGCTTTTAATTTCCAAACAAGCTACAAAACATGAATAATATTTTGCTCTTTATTGTCGGCAAATCACACTTCTACCAAGATTTTAAATATTATGAAAATATTTCTAAAAATTATAAAATAAAAAGTTCATAATAAAATTAACAAAATGAACCCTTCATTTTTTAAAATAAGTTAGAATTTATTATTATTATTATTATTATCTCTGTATTAGTGATATTTTATTAATAATATTTTATAATTTTTTTTGTTATAGTATTAAAACATCTCTCATGTGATGTAAAAACAAAATTCACCTCTCATCTTTGATGTCAAATTCAAGGACATATGAAAATGCTGACAAAGTTTTTAATACTCTAAAGTTAGAAAAAGGTAACACACCAGGCTTAGGATTCGGCACCTAATTGCCCCAACATTCTCCTGCATCTCCTGCGACCTAGATCTAGCTGCATTATAGACTATCCCTACAGACCAATACGATATCTTTCTGCATGCTTTGTTCTCACTCATATGCTTTCCCTAGTAAAGCAACTAGGAGGTTATCCAACCAAAAATTGCTCCAAGTCGAGTACACTTAACTTTGGAGTTCTTACGATTGAATTACGGAAAAAAAAAGGTGCACCTTGTTAGTATATGTAGAAACTATCGATTCTTTTAAGTCTTTTATTAGCCATGCTTCCACGGTCTCAGGATCCCTCTCATATGTACCTCTCTTCTCTACTCGGACGTCACACAAACGCTGCAACAATTCTCTCCTATAGCAAAGGTATGACCTGGGTTCGACCATAGGCACCCGACAAATATGATCTTTGGGACGACACTAATAATCGCTTGTAGGATGACCTGTCAGATCCACAACCTATAAATAGGGGGCATTAGTACTTCTGCATCAAACTTCATATTACACTTGAACTTAAATTGATTTGAATATCGGAGTATTTGCCTCTTTTGTGCAATTATTTCCTTGTCTAAGACGTTCAAACTCTTCAATTTGTCATACATTAACTAGATTTGACTTTAATCAATTTTGTTGCACAAACATGTTGTAACCAAAGTTGAATGCACAAAAATTATTCAAATTTAATTGATTGATTATTTTTTAATTTTACCCTTAAAATAAAAATCAAACAAATCAACATATATTGTTCCAACTGATCAAACCATCCTAGCTTGATTGATTTCATCGAGTTTCTCAAACATTAATTTCAAATAGGTATAACATCATTAGCTTTAATCTAGATTTTAAGTATATGAAAACTTTGAAGTTTCTATTTTGATGAAATATTAACAAAAATACCAATAAAATATCGACGTGATGGATATATAAAAAATCATAAAAATCAAGAAATTTATAAAAAGATACCTGGATTAATAAATAAACATTTGACACTTTTTTAAATAAGTAAAAATTCTTACTATTAATATTTTGTTGATACTTTTTTATATTCTATGGATGGTAGAATAGAAATATTGGTTTATTCCTTATATCAATGTTAAACTCATGAACCTTATTAAAAGAAAAAAAAAGAAAAACTCATGAACATGTACAACTATAAATATTGACATATCACGAAAAAAATTAATATCCTATGTTGGAGGTGAATTATCACCTGCCACGTTTCAACATTAGAATTTGTTTTAAGTAAGTAGACAAATCAATTGAGACTTTAAGGCCTCGTTTACCTACCTGCAATCGTAATGAAAATCAATCGAAATGAGAATGTCATTTATTTGATGTTGTTTACCATAAATTTTCTAGAATCGTAATCGTAATTCCTTTGATGTTGTTTACTAAAACTGTCTGGTATCGGAATCGGAATAAGATATATAACAATTACTAGTATACCCATTTTTCATTTTTAGCTTATTACAAATACATTATTGTGCTAATCTTTTTAAATTACAATAATAATAAAAAATTTTAATTTAATTTATTACTATATTATTGATAGTAAATATTTTTTATTATAACAATTTATTTAATATTAATAAATAATGAATGATTAAAATAAAATTACATCAAATAAATAATGAATAATTAAAATAAAATTACATCAAATAATTTTTTTATTTGAACAACCATAATTTAATATAAAATACTATTAAATTTTTATTATTCTAATATTTAAAAATAATAATTTTTATTTTAAAAAATCTATTGATATTGATATTGATATAAATTCATAATATTATATAATAAAATTACATAAACTAAATAAAAATGAAGTATAAATGGAGAAGAAATTATAAAAGTATGAAAGAAATTAATTAAAATATTGTATGAGTCTCGTTAATAGATGAAAGAGAAATGATAAAAGCTGTAAATTAATTATAATAAATATGTGGGCCCCACTGAATAAGGAATGAGAGATGGAGTTGTAGGAGTATAATGGGAATACACCCTTCAAGGGAATGAGATTACAAAGTTTGAGATGAATCCTACTATTTGAATCCATTCATATAATTTGGTAGACACTATCAAAGGGAATGAAAGTTTTCATTACGATTTCTTGGTTATGATTGCGGATAAGTAAACGAGCTTATGATTGGTTCAAGTCCTGGGAGCTAGATAGGTGGAAGCCTAGTTAAGCGACAAATCACCATTTGGCTGAAGCGACAAATCACCATTTGGCTGACTTTCACCAAGTACGAGCGGACTTTGAAGAGCATTAACGCCTCAAAGGCAAAGAAGATATTCTCCAACAATATGCCGCATTTTTTCTGGTGGTCAGAAAGCTGTTAAAGTGCTATTGAAAGCCATGTTGGGAACTCCTCTATAAATAGAGATCCTCACGTCCCACGTAAGGTACGCGAAATATATTCTCTCTTGAATATAGATCGAATTGTGTACTAACTCTACTTCGTAGGTCCTTTGTACATCAGTGCACCTTATCCAAACTTCACAAAGCCAAGCTTGATTAATTTTACGATAAAACACCCTAGCTTCTCTAAATGCAAAATGATATTTGCTCAAAAAGGAAAAATAAAAGGAAGCAAAATTTCATTTCGCGCGGAAAATCAAGAGGAATTTTTGGAAGCCGGGAAAAAGAGGAGGGATTCTTATTTTCGATGACGTCAACAAGCACGTGCAGCCACGTGCGGCTATTTTGTTAGTTTTTTTTTTTTTTGGTAAGATTATAGCGCGCGGAACCCAACGGCAAGAGTTAGCTGATTTGAAACTTTAATTTCAAAATCCGCCAACAAATATTTTGACCTTTATTAATAATAAAAAAATAATATCCAGCCTTCTCCGCCAAATTGCCAATTCCCCAATCTCTATTTTTCTCCATAGCTTCTTCTAAGGGCTCATTCCTACGCATAGCCCTCCGCCTCTAGGGTTAGGTTTAGGGTTTTCTTCATCTTCTTCCTCTTCACTCCTCACCCTCTTGCTTCGCTTCTGTAAATTTCTGGGTTATCCCTCTTTTTTTCTTCTGTAATTTCTGCAAGTGTTCCAGTTGGTTGCTCTGTTTTCGATTTCCTTTCTCGATCTCGATCTGTGCTTCACTGTTATGGATATGCGCAAGCGTGGGAGGCCCGAAGCTGGCTTCAATTCTAATGGCGGCTTTAAGAAGCATAAGCAAGGTTAGTTTCTTGAAGTTCTAGTTTGGTGCTTCGTTTCTTTCCCTTCTGCAACTCGTTTGGAGCTTCGTTTCTTCATGTGCTTAGCAAGTGTTTTTGTTTTGTTTTGTTTTATTGGGTGTTTGAAATCGTTTCATTTCTGAAGTTAGAAATGTCGCTTTTGCTGTATAAGTTTGCTTTAGAAGAATTAGTGGCCATGTGTTCGAGCTCCGTGATCTACCCGTCTATTTGCGTCTCACTTAGGCTGCAGACTGATACTCGCGACGTAGATTTAGAACCATAATCCAGTTTGTGATTATTGTTTCTTTAACTAAGGATGACTAGAGTTTAATGATTTAAGACAGTTCTTATTTGTATGTTATGATATTTAAGGGTTAGATAAAAATGGTGATTAAATAGGAAAGGGAGGAATTGGAGGATTTTTTTGAACAAAAGAGTGCCTGTTGGTGGTGAGATTTGGGACCATGTCAGGGTTTTGGTCTCTCTTTGTCATCATTTGACAAAGCATCCATACGGTTCATTTTTTCAGTATCGTTTAGTATTACTATGGGTAACTGTAGAGTATTTTTCTTAATCTCCTGAGTTGGTTAGGGATGGTCATCAAGCCATCAAGTCATAGTCTCTTTCTCTTTTCTGTCTCATCTTTTACACATGAAAAGGATTTTTTATTTTAAATCTATAATGACTATAAATCCTTAATCTAAGGCCAAAGGAGTCTACAAAAAAGCACCTCAATTGGAATTAATTAAGAACCTTTTATAATGGTAGATGTTTGACGCTATAGTTATGTTGGCTATTACTTGGTGTAAATTGGCCCCAACTTTCCATTTCTATAGCTTTATTTCTCCCAATTGAAGAAGTTTTTTTTTGTAACGCTCTTGGATTAAAGTCCTTTCTCCCCTTTTGAATTTCATTCTTCAATGAAACAAAAACAAAATGGCAGAAGAGTTTTCAAGAACATAAAAGAGAGTATATAACTCCCGATATCCATAATCCTGTCGTCAAGAAGCTTTCCTATTTCCATTTAGGCAAGTTATAAGATAGCTGTTGCCACACTTCCCATACTAACAAATAAATTCCTAGATGGAATGGCTGCAATTATGTTAGACATGCCTGGGGGAAAGAGGCATTTGCAAGCATCTCTTGTGAAATCTGTTGGTTGTATTTAGTATCCTTGGCAAGGGACCGGAAGAGAACTTTAATTTTCGGAAATTGCAAGAGAACAACCTCAATTGTTCCAAAGTCCATCATTTGATGATCATATTGAATATTTCAATAAACAAAGTTTAATTTCCAGATAAGGTTAGGTTAATCGTTAATTTCTCTGTATCAAGTTCCTCTTAGGATGGTATTCCATTCCTGGATGGAGTGGTCAAATTTCAACCCTCATTGACTGTAAGATCTTTGGACAACATAGTTTGGTAGAGATTTGGGTATTACCCTCTAGAGGTTCATTGGAGAGCCAGCTACTATCTTAAAAAATTGTCTGATTACCCTTGAAATGAGTGTAAGTTTATGAATCTGTTGCACACTTGCATTTAGCTATTCCTGCATTTTGATTTAGACACCCTTCAAGGGGGAAGCTTAAGTAACCACATCGACATTTAGCTGCATGGCCTAAAGTTGAGTAGCTTGACCATGCTGTGGTTCTCCATCAATTTTTATTTAAGAAATGATTAACTTAGTTATTAACATCCAGGTCTGGAACTAACTCACTAAAATGTGTGAGTAATTGCAATCATATTATCTAGATTTCCCTTCTTTGGCAGAAAATGGAAATATCGTCACGTACTTGTTCTCTCCACTCTAAACACCTCATAACAGACCTTTTACTGCTTTACTCAGTATGTTGAGAAGGTTGAGGAAAAAAAAGAAACTGGGGAAAGTGGATCCCTTGCCTAAAACTTCTTGATGCAACTCTTTTATATGGGTTTCTTCATGAATATATTCTAAGTTTCCCATTAAAAAAAACACCTCTTGATGCAACGATTCTCCTCCTTGGACTTCCATTTTAGAAACAGAGAACCTAAAATTGCTAATGCAACTTTGAGTCAAATTTATCCATTCATTGAGCATTCTACGTGTCATAAAATTCCAATTGATTTAATCATAAAACTTTATCTCCCCCCTTTTTGTTTTTTTATGTTCTGTTGAAATCCTTGTTCACTATTACGGAGCTTTTAAGTCTGCTGATATGATATTTTATCTCTTATTCTTGATTACAACTTTCAAGCCTTCTAATTAGAAAACAGAATGTAGTTTTTAAAGCTCTAGGGTTGTTATAACTTATAAGTACGGATCACCATTTGGTCACTATTATGGAGCTTTTAAGTTTGGTGATTGCTAGCTACCCAGTCATTAGGTGTCTAGCTTCCTCAGCCTTCTGGCATAGTTGAGTGGTATCCACTTTTTAGGGAATATTGGTCGAATGTGGAAAAGGTCTGTATAAAGAACTATGAGAGCAGTTTGTAAATATCTTGTTCATTGCTACAAAAATTTTTCTTTGAGCAACAAGTCAGGGAAATTATATTTATATATCTATGGGCAAGGTGCACTTTGGATCAAGACAAAAATTAACATTGCTATAGCAATAGGTTTATTGTATCCTTTTAGGTCAGTCATCAGTGCTGTGAAGGAGGCTTGGAGGCTAAATGTTCTCTCTTATGAGATTCAGTTCTAGGTGGTGTGTTTTTTTGTTTGGTCTTGCACCTTACTGTGTTGGTAAACCCAGGTAGCCTCACAATTCAATGTGAAACTTTTGAAATTACCAAATTCATATAGAAAGCTACAAACTATTTAGTAATTGTTTTAGTTGCCTAAAGAATTTAAGTGTAGAGATGTATTAAAGTATTAGAGTAAAAATCTTAACAAACTGTAACTGAGAAAAAATAATTAATGTTTTGCAACAGAAATGGAGTCCTTATCAACTGTAGGGAGCAAATCGAAGCCATGCACCAAGTTTTTCAGGTTCATATCTTACCTACCTAAATAAATATTTGAACTGCATATTATCTCTCCTAATGATTTAAACTTGTTGTAAGAATTTAGATTTTAGATAAAGCTGAGTAATTGCACTTCTGAAAACTGGGAATACAGGTATAAATTATTACTTCAAGCCTTTAACCAAGTAAATAATTGATTTAAAAACTTTAATTAATTTTAGAACGTTAAAATTTTTCTCCATTATTATTAATCTCTGAAGTCTGCGACTCTGCATTGAGTCCCCATCCCCCTCTCCTTTTGTTTAGATTTTGCACTGAACATGAATACAATCTCATTATCATTGGACAAAACTTAGTTTGATCCATTTTCTTTTCCAATTTTACTTTATTATTATTTCCTTGTGGTCCACTTATATTCTACTAGTTTGAATCCATTGTTGCATTTATATTTGTAATGAGGTTTTCAGTCTTGAGCCCTAATTTTTTACCATAAATCTCTTATCTGAAAGGAGATTACTTATCTTCCTTTCTCCTTGTGAATCTCTTCGTGATGGAGAGCCCCTCCACCATGCCCCCCTCACCACACAAAAAAAAAAAAAAAGGAAGAAAGAATGCCTGCTGGGAAATATTATTGCAGTTTCCTTTGCAACCTTTGCCCTTCTAGCCAGCTTATTCAACTAGCGTGCCATTTCTTTGATTTAAATACCTTGATAGTTAATATTCTTCGGTGCATAGATGGCTCGTATTAGTACTAGTACGGGTGGAGGCTTACAAGTTTCTTTCTAGTTTGTGATCTGTGTTTCAATTTGCTACATTGTGTCCCATTGGTGTTGAGTTTGTTACCAGCTAAGAGTTTCTAATGCATAATTATTGGATCATGCTGATGCCTTCTTTTTTTTTTTTTTTTTTAAATATCTTGGTAATCTTTTGGCAAGCCATATGCTCCATTCTTTCACCTCTATAAACTATTGTAAACATGCAACTGTATACAGTATACTTCTAAAAAGGAGATCAGCCATAATTATATATTGTCAGTTTAAATTTATTTTCTAATTGTTTTTGAACTTCTTGAATGGGTTAGACCACTCAAGAATGTACTTAATGTCTGCTCATTTCATGACTATACTGTTAAAGGTCAAGCTTATCACATATCTTCCTAAGGTTTTAAAACATGTCAAGAATCAAATTTCTTGTAGAACAGTAATGTGCTATTAAGGGCCTCCTTTTTTTTTTTTTCTCCTTTCTTTCTTTCTTCTAATTACAAGGTGATTAAGCTTTTATTCAGATGTGAAGACTTTGTTTGGATTACTTGACTTGCTTAAGCTTCTATTGAGGTGTGACAATATGATTTGATTACTTGATTTGCTTTACCTTTTAAACTCTTGCCAAGTTTATGCTTGATAGCCCCTACCTGGGATAAAAAGGTCTGTTTGGATGTTATGTTAAAAAAAACTTTTGATGTGGGAAACTTGTTTGGCAGAATGAATCATAAAAAATAAAGGATGGTAGGAAAAAGAAATAGTATTTTATTGTTTTCATGTGTTTTCTTTCATATTTTTGTTAGATTTACTGTTCACATGATCATTAGTTATCATATAAGTATATGTTGATCTATATTTAGAATCTTAGATTAAGGTTTAAATACTATTTTGGTTCTTGTACTTTCGGTTTTGTTTATTTTTGCCTTTGTACTTTGAAAACATCTATTTTGTCATTTGTTCATATTGGTTCATATACTTTCAAAACGGATCCCTAATACTTAAAAAAACAATGCCATTTTGGTCCTTATTTGAAAAATTTCAACATAAATTTTATACACAATGGAAACCCTTAACGCAACTTTATGGCTACATTTCAAAAAATCTTGTGGGTTAAGTATTATGATAGAAAAAATTGGATAAAAATGAAAATAAAAGCATCAACATGGTCGCTTTTTAAAAGAACAGGACCTAAAATGGATGTTTTGATAGTACATGGACTAAAATGAACTAAATTTAAAAGTTTAGGACCTAAAATGGATGTTTTGATAGTACATGGACTAAAATGAACTAAATTTAAAAGTTTAGAGCCAAAATGGACGTCTTGAAAGTACATGGAACAAAATGAACCAAAGTTGAAAGTATAGGGACTAAAATCAGTATTTAAACCTTAAATTAATTTGGAGAAGAAATGAGTGAAAAACCAAGGATAAAAATATCTATTTAAAATCTTTTTTTTAAATAAAAAATAGAAAATAGTATTATAATGTTAATCTAGAAAATAATTTCTAAAAATATTTTGGAGAATACACACCTAAACAGTGCTTTGGAAGAGGGACTGTTTGGAATCCGTTTCTATAAAAAAAATTGTTTATTTTAGAACCAAAAAGAAAGATTTAATTATACATTTAAAATTGGGTGGTAGTATTGATTTTTCTTTTTAATTTTTAATTTTTTTAATTATTATTAATTTTCTTGTACTGTTGTATGGCCTTCTGAAGAACAATTGAAGTTATTCTTCCACATTGCCCTTGTGAATAGTGTACGCAACAATCTTAACTTTTATAAACCATCAAATTGATTTTGATAACATGGTGAGAGCAGTTTTTATTGTTTCAAAGTGAGGTGATAGAGGAGGAAAACAGAGTAGGTTGAAAGATCTGGTGATGCTTTAAGTGAAAACTGAGGAAGATATGGATATGGTGGAGATGAAAGCTTGTTAGATTATTTGAAAAAATTAGGGGTAAGCGTGAGATTATGACCAATTCTTAATGGGAAGAAAAAGAAGAAAGCCATAGGATGGCAAATTACGAAAAATAAAAAAAATGTCTTTGGTTGTGCTTCAAAAGGAATTTTAAGGCTGAGGCTTGTTTGGTAACGTACCTGTTTTTTATTTCTGTTTCTTTATTTTTAATAAAGAAAAATGAATTGCAGAATCTTAACATCCATGAATTCAAGTATGATAAAGCAATCTTTTTATTTATGTTTTGGAACAAATTGGAAATGAAAACCAGAGAGATTTATTTTGGTTTCCAAAATTTTTATATAATTTTGAGAATGTTCCCAAGAAAGGAGAAACAAGTTAGTTGTAAAATGTTTAGGTTTCTTAAGAAAATTGGAAACGAGAAACAAGAAACATGAATGTTACCAAACGAACTCCCGGGGTTTTCTTGATAAATTTGCTTGTTTGTTTCTAGCGGGGCAAATGGTTGAATCTTTTTTCTGCTGTTTTCTACTAAAAGATTGTTCCAAAACACCAGTTGAAAGCTATTTTTCCAAACAGCCCCAAATATCTGCATTTCTGAAGAAAAGGGGGAAAACATAAAATACCTTACAGAAAAAGTATGCTTGCGGCTCGGTTCATTCATATGTAGTTTGATTTCTGTTATTTGTAGTGTTTGTACTGTCTACTGAATAATATTTAGATCTATGGATCCCTGAGGATTTTACATTTGTACGTGTTTTGCGGTTTGGTTCGATTGATTTTACAGGAGTGTGTTTTTTTTTATCTTTTTGGATTTCAGTACTGCTGGCTGTCCATTTGGTGAAAGCTGTCATTTCTTGCATCACGTTCCTGGTGGTTATAATGTTGTGGCCCAAATGATGAACCTTGCGCCTGCTGGTTCTCAACCATCTAGAAATATGGCAGCCCCGCCTTCTGTTACCAATGGCGGGTCCTCCGCCCCTCCTCTAGTCAAAAATCGCATGTGCAACAAGTATAACACGGCAGAAGGCTGCAAGTTTGGTGATAAATGCAACTTTGCTCATGGAGAGTGGGAACTCGGGAGGCCTGGCGCTCAATCTCATGATAATCCCCGAGCTATGGGAGGACATATGGTTGGTCGTATGGGTGGGCGAATGGACCCGGCACCCCCAGGTCCTGCTGCAAGCTTTGGTGCTTCAGCTACTGCGAAGATCAGCATAGATGCCTCCCTTGCAGGAGCGATCATTGGCAAGGGCGGGATCAACTCCAAACAGATTTGTCGCCAAACGGGTGCCAAACTCTCCATCAGGGACCACGAGTCAGATCCAAATCTCAGAAACATAGAACTCGAGGGGACTTTTGAGCAAATTAATGAAGCGAGTGCAATGGTTAGGGAGCTTATTATAACAGTTTCGATGTCAGGACCTGGAAAAAACTCCGGCGTAGCAGGAGGTCCTGCTCCTTCAGGAAGCAACTATAAAACAAAGCTGTGTGATAATTTTGCGAAAGGTTCTTGTACTTTTGGCGAGAGATGTCATTTTGCGCACGGGGCTGCTGAGTTACGCAAGTCTGGAGTATGATCGAACCATGACAGTTTTTCCCCATTTTGTGTAGTTTTAATTAATGGGAGATTTTGTTTTCAAAGCTTGCGATCGACACAAGAAAGTTGGGGTGTGTCTGGTTCTTATGTTGTAGTTTTATGAGTTTCTTGATATTCCTTGCTTAGAAGATAATTAAGTTATTATTTTTTATGATTGCTAATCATTTTCAGTGCCCACAGTTTTTATGATTGCAAAAACACAATTTGATATTTGTTGTCCAAGTGATTAATAATATAAGGCCAACGGTATAAAATATGGGATCAGTGGCTTCTAAAAATTGTTGGGGCTGATATCCTTTCAAATATAGCCCATGTGGCATATTTTTCCTTTCCAAAAGAAAAAAAAGGTCATTTTTTTTCCTCTTTTTGGTAGAATTAATGAATACAATTGATTGGTGGAACCACCTCCAATTTAGAAATCCTCGAGGGAATCTCATCTCTAGGTTGGTTCATGATGGAGGAGTTTTCAAAAAGGTCAAATGAAATTTTATTTTCTCCTCTCTTTGAAGTATGCCATTAAAAAAGAAAAAAAAAGGAGAAAAGTCAAGTACCTTCAATTTGTTTCTCCTTCATTTTTCTTATTTATTTTTGTTCTTTTTTCAAAATCAAGTAAATCTTTGTATCGTGAATTTCCAACTTTGCTCTTATGCGTATTTTTTTTCTGTCCCTTCTCATTTGACACTACTTGCCACGAATTTGAACCAACTTAAGATTTACTAGATTTGATTTTATATTTCTACCCATTAAATTTTTAGTCCTTAATTAGTAACGTTCTCCTATGCAACGACTAATTGATTTTCATTGACAATATTGCTAAGGTGGACAATATCTCATTCTTCCAAGCTCTCCCCTGAAATTAGGGGTGTTCACGGTTCGGTTTGATGAATCAACCGAAACCGAAACCGATTGTTAAAAAAGAAAATTTCTAGGACCGAGCCGAACCGAGGTGCATAGCTTAACCGAACCGACAATTCGGTTTAGTTCAGTTCGGTTCCTGCGGTTTGGGCTCTTGATCATAGGAGGTTGATTTAACCTTTGAAGTTCAAGTGTTAGTGGCAGTGGCGGTCCGGCAAAGGTAGCTGCTGTCCGACGAAGGTAGTGACGTAGGTGGATGGTGGCAAGCGGCGAACGACGGTAGAACTGGATGACAATATAGCCAATGTTGTGGTGAAATTTGAGATTTGAATAGAGAAAGAAAGTTAGATATGAGATTGGAAGAGAAGAGGGAGAGAATGGAAGAGAAAGAAGACAAGTTACAACCCTAATTTCAAATTCAATAGTTTATCCTTTGTAAAAATAAAATATAAATTATAAACAAATCATAATTTATTTTATAAAAAGAAAGAAAAAACAAATAAAAAGATAAAAGAATTAACGAATGAAATTAAAATTTGAAATATTATTTAAAATTAAACAAGTATTATAAAAAAATTGATAATTGGCTAAGAGCCTTTAGAATTCGAATCGATCGGTGCCCCTATCTTTGAAAGGAGTCCCTCATGTTCAGCAGTCACATCATAGGGCTAGTTTTTTTCTTTTTTAATCTTTAATTATATATGTAACTAAATATATAAAATTAAATGAAATAATGGATGCAGTTTGGTTCGATTTACTACTCGGTTTTACTTATTAAAACCGAAACCGAATCGAAAAATTCAATTCACTATTTCACTTAACTGAACCAAACCGTTAAACCGCCAAACCGAAAATTTAGCTAGGTTTCGGTTCGATTTTTCGGTTTTGTCGGTTTCATCGGTTTCGTTGTGCACCCTTACCTGCAATAGTGAATTCTATACTAATACATTTCTATACAATGGTAATTGAGACTAAAACAATGTCTATAATGATTTCAAAGTCAGTCAAGTCATAACGACTCTATCTCATCTCATCTAATCCAATACATTCTTAGAAATATTCATTTACCTGAAAAAAAGAAAGTTGCATGCCTCTCGTTGTACATGAATGGTGTAAACAAGTCTGTTATTATTAGGCTATCTGAAGATAGCGATGTGACATGGGTTCTAACGGTTCTGTCGAATGAGTTGGGGAGTGTTGATGCGTCCTTGTGGATACAGCCTCGGTAGATACAGACATTGACCCCAACTATGGTAGTGTGACACCACCACTGTAAGTACTGACATTAACCTCTAAAATGGGAGTGCGACACCACCATTGTAAGTACTGACATTAACCTCTAAAATGGGAGTGCAATACCATTATAGATCACTGTAGATATTAACATTGACCCTTAAAATGAGGGTGCGACACCAGTGTAGACCACTATAGACACTATCATCGACCCCATAAATAGAAGTGCGACACTAGTGCCGACCACAACTCACCATCAACGCAAGGAATTCAAAGTAATGGATCCAATTCACATTCATTATTTTCCATCTAACTTTGCACTAACAAAATATTGTGCTTTGCATAGCAAAGAAGAATTGAAGAAGACAGTTTACTTCATAGCCTTAAAAGTAAGTTTTTAGTTCAAAACTGTAAAATCCAAAAAAAAAAAAGAAAAAAACTGTTGGTATTAAAGTGCCTCCACGAATCATACAATTGTACTTTTCCTCGTCTCGCTACAAAAATGGTAAAATTATGGGTTATTAGAGAATACGTAGAGGAACATAGTTGTTATTAGGGGTTTAAAATTCATAAAATTAAGCATATATGCCTAATTTATTATATTTATCTAAAATATTATTTAGGATTCTAAAAAAAGGTTACTTAGTCATTTGTGCAATATCTGATATATTAGACTATTTTTTAAAATGCCTTATTTATTTTGGTCATTCATGCAGTCGCCCCAAGCTACTTTCACAAGTATCTATTTTTGAAAAATGTCTAAGTTGAACTGTTTTAAGCCCAAACCCATGTCCAAATTTCATATACAGAAATTGTCTCAAGTTTTTGTCATTAATGAGTCAAATTATACTCAATATTTCACAAATACAAGTTGAGATCATTTACTTTTCCCACTTCTCCTGGTCGTTTGCATTTAGGGAGTTCGATTAGTTGCATGTTTAGTAGTTGTTCTAACATATCAGAGATGTTAGAATCAGAAAAAGGATAAATTTTTTCTTATCTTTCTTTTAGAGTTGAACGACGCCTTTCATTTCCTTGTCGTTTTTGGCCATTTTATCTCTTCTTTTTTAAGACGACTTGAGACTGGTTGTGTTGATAACCATTGATTCTTCAGAAGTTGTCTCGGCGCTCTTGCTTCCTTTCTTCATATCAGGAACTAAAAGATCTTTATCTTCTCGATTAGCAATACTTAGCTCCATGTTGTGGGTGCGAGTTGCTAATTCTTCAAACGTGTAGGGTATTATTCCTTGAAGGATGTAAAGAAGTCCATAATGCATGCCTTGAATGCACAACTTGATAGCAGATAGCTCAATCAGTCGATCTTTGCAGTCGAGATTCAAAGCTCTCCACCTGTTGATGTACTCAACAATAGGTTCATCTTTTCGTTGCTTGGTGTTGGTAAGTTCCATCATGCTTACGGTTCGCCTTGTGCTATATAAGCGATTAAGAACTCTATTTCCAACTGCTTCCAATCGTTGATGGATTCAGGCTCCAGATTTATGTACCAGTCAAAAGCATTGTTTTTTAGTACTCAAACGGATTGTTTGACAAGTAGATCTCCTCGAGTGCAAGTATTTTCACATGTCTCAACGAAATGAACAATATGTTTTTTAGGGTTGCTTTTTCCATCAAATTGCTGAAACTTCAGAGGCTGATATCCAATTGGCATTCTCAAGTCATCAATCCTCTTGGTGTACAACTTGGAGTACATTAGGGAGTTTTGAGAAGGTCCACCATACTGAGATCTGATCGAATTTGTGATCATATCTTGGAGCTGCTAGATAGATAGTGAAGCAATTGAAACAAAGTGTTCCGATTGTTTTTCTTGCATGAAGCTCTTTCTTTTGTCGCTGATTTTCGCAGCGTGATTTTGGCTTGACTCAGCAACATTTGTAACATCTTAAATTTCGATATGGTTCATAAGGGAAGCAATCTTATAGTCCCTCTCTTTGACCATTTTTGTCAGCATGGTAAGTTTCCTCTCCATTTCTGCGAACTTTTCTTCCATGGCGGATGAAGCTTCCTTGGATGCCATTACTTTTTAGTTTGAGAGAAACAGATGAGAGGTAGAGATGTCCCACTGGACGTGCTAATTTGTTCGACGAGAAATTCAAAGAAGAGAAAACTTGAATTAATGAACTTGTATTTGTATTGAATGTATGTAGTGTACAATCTCTAATGTATAATCCTCTAATTAATTCTCTCAAATATAAACTTTAATTCAAGGGTTTGTGAGCTTGTTCTTTAATAAATGACGTTGATGCCTTCAGTTTCTTGCTTATCAAAGGATCTTTAAAGTCTTCGACTGTGAACCTTGATGCTTGGCGAAGTTTGTAGCTTGATATTTTCTTCGGCTCGCTTGACAAAATCCACAGCTTGATGAAGTACTTCGGCTTGTGAAGTCTTCGACTTTACGCTTGTGAAGTTCTTTGCCTTTGCAACTTGTGAAAAAGCAGCCTGTTGAAGTTCTTCGACTTGTAGCTTGTGAAGTTCTTCAGCTTTGCCACTTGTTGAAGTTTTTCGGCTTGTAGCTTGTGAAGTCCTTCCGATTTGCAACTTCTTGAAGTTCTTCGGCTTGTAGCTTTTGAAGTTCTTCGGCTTGTAGCTTGTGAAGTCCTTCAGATTTGCAACTTCTTGAGGTTCTTCAACTTGTAGCTTTTGAAGTTCTTTGGCTTGTAGCTTGTGAAGTTCTTCGACTTTGCAGCTTGTGAAGTTCTCCGGCTTGCAACTTGTGAAGTTCTTAAACTTGTAGCTTGTGGATGACTCTAAATGCTCTGGTGGCTCTGAATCTCCAATTCTTCTGGATCTCTCCAAATGAGAGGTGATGATGTGATCATAATTGACCTCGAGACCTTGGAACCCCATTATGAGAAGAGGAGAGCACCACCGCAAACTCAACGCCATCATGTGCGCACTAACCTCA